ATAGAAGGGGAAATACGGAGTTTCCCAGACAAGAGAAGGCTAAAAGAATACATCTCTACCAAACCAGCACTCCAAGATATGCTAAGGGGACTGGTTTAAGTAGATGAAGGAAAAGAATGAGACAGAGAGGAACACAGGTACAAAGAGAAAAGATGAGTAAGTTTCTACAGTCATATCTCTCAATGTGAATGGACTAAATGCCCCAATCAAAAGACACAGGGTAGCTGACGGAATAAGAAAACATGACCCACACACATGCTGCCTACAAGAGACCCACCTCAGAGCAACACACCTACCCAGATTGAAAGTAAAGGGGTGGAAAAAAATACTCCAAGCAGATGGGCAAGAGACAAAGGCCAGGCTTGCCATACTTGTATCAGACAAAGTAGATTTCAAAACAGAGGCCATAAAAAGAGACACAGAGGGACACTTTATAACACTTAAAGGAAGAATCTATCAAGAAGACATCAACATTGTAAACTTATATGCTCCCTATATAGGAGCCCCCAAGTATGTACGGAAATTGTTGGATGACTTCAAAAAAGATATAGACAGCAACACACTGATAGTAGGGGATTTCAACACCCCACTGTCAAAAATGGACAGATCTTCCAAACAAAACGTTAATAAACATATTGTGGCACCAAATGACACACTGAATCAAAGAGACTTAACTGACATATATAGAACCCTACATCCCAAAGAAGAAAAATACACATTCTTTTCAAATGTGCATGGAAGGTTTTCAAAGATCGACCATATGACAGGACACAAAGTAAACCTGAGCAAATTCAGGAAAACTGATATAATACCGACTTTTTCTCGGACCACAAGGGACTGAAACTGGAAATCAACCTCAAAGAGAAACTTCAAAAACTTGCAAACTCATGGAGACTGAACAATAGACTATTAAACAATGAATGGGTCAATAATGAGATAAGACAAGAAATCGAAAAATTTCTGGAAACAAATGAAAATGAACAGACAACAGTCCAAAACCTATGGGACACATCAAAGGCAGTCCTGAGAGGGAAGTTCATAGCAATACAGGCTTACCTAAAAAAGAGAAACATTTCAAATAAAAGACCTAACACTACAACTTCAAGAACTGGAGAAACAACAACAAATAAATCCCAGAGCAAGTAGAAGGAAGGAAATCGTCCAGATTAGAGCAGAATTGAATGACATAGAGACAAAAAGAACAATTCAGAGGATCAACCAATCCAGAAGCTGGTTCTTTGAAAAGATAAATAAAATTGACAAGCCTTTAAGGAGACTCATCAAGAAAAAAAGGGAGAGGACCAAATTAATAATATCAGAAACGAAAGAGGAGAAATAACAACTGATACCACAGAAATACAAAGGATTGTCAGAAACTACACTGAACAATTATATGCCAAGAAATCTGAAAATCTTAATGAAATGGACAAATTTTTTGAAAAGTATAATCCTCCAACACTGAAGGGGGAAGAAACAGAAAGCTTGAACAGACCGATAACAGCTGGGGAAATTGAGGCAGTAATCAAGAAACGCCCGGCACACAAAAGCCCAGGGCCAGACGGTTTCCCAGGAGAACTTTACAAAACATTTAAGGAAGAGCTAACCCCTGTCCTTCTCAGACTATTCCAAAAAATCCAAGAGGAGGGAAGACTCCCAGGCTCCTTCAATGAGGCCAGCATCACCCTGATCCCAAAACCAGATAAAGACTCTACAAAGAAAGAAAACTACAGGCCAATTTCCCTGATGAACATAGATGCTAAAATCCTCAACAAGATATCGGCAAGCCGCATCCAGCAATACATTCAAAAGATTATCCACCACGATCAAGTGGGATTCATCCCAGGGATGCAAGGATGGTTCAGTATACGCAAATCAGTAAATGTGATACATCACGTAAATAAAAGAAAAGACAAAACCACATGATCATCTCGATACACGCAGAAAAAGCATTCGATAAGGTACAGCACCCATTTTGATCAAAACACTCAGCAAAATGGGAATAAATGGGGCATTCCTCAACGTAATAAAGGCCATATAGGGAAAACCTACAGCCAACATCATACTCAACGGGCAAAAACTGAAAGCTTTCCCACTAACATCGGGAACACGATAAGGATGTCCACTTTCACAGCTTCTTTTCAACATCGTATTGGAAGTCCCAGCCACAGCGGTCAGACAAGAAAAAGAGATAAAAGGCATCCAAATAGGAAAGGAGGAAGTAAAGCTATCATTGTTTGCAGATGACATGATAGTGTATATAGAGAACCCTGTAGACTCTACCCAAAAACTCCTCAACCTAATAAGTGAATTTGGCAAAACAGCAGGATACAAAGTCAACATTCAGAAATCAAAGGCATTTTTGTACACCAGCAAAAAGATAGAAGAAGAAGAAATCAGAAAAACAATGCCATTCAATATAGCAAGAAGAAAAATAAAGTACCTAGGCATAAATTTAACCAAAGATGTAAAAGACTTGTATGCAGAAAACTATACAACATTGAAGAAAGAAATTAAGGAAGACACAAATAAATGGAAGCATATACCATGCTCATGGATTGGAAGAATTAATTTCATCAAAATGTCCATACTACCCAAAACAATTTATAGATTCAACACAATCCCTATTAAGATACCAATGACATATTTCACAGAAATAGGACAGACATTTCAAAAATTTATATGGAACCATAAACGACCCCGAATAGCCGCAGCAAGTTTGAGAAAGAAAAACAAAGTAGGAGGGATCACTATACCGTACATCAAACTATATTACAAAGCTAGTATAATCAAAAGAATCTAGTACTGGCACAAGCACAGACCCATAGACCAGTGGAACAGAATAGAAAGCCCAGAAGTAAGCCCATGTCTATGTGGTCAATTAATATTTGACAACGGGGGCAGAAGCATAAAATTGAGCAGCAATAATAGCCTGTTCAACAAATGGTGCTGGGAGAGCTGGATGCCTACATGCAAAAAATTGAAATTGGATCATCAGCTGACACCATACACAAAAATAAACTGAAGATGGATAAAAGACTTAAATATAAGTCGCAACACCATAAAAGTCCTAGGGGAGAACATCGGCAGGAAACTCTCAGATATCCCACGCAGCCATTTTTTCACTGATATGTCTCCTAAAGCAAGGGACATAAAGGAAAGAATAAACAAGTGGACCTCATCAAAATAAGAGGCTTCTGCACGGCTAAAGGAAACATCAACAAAATGAAAAGGGAGCCAACCGTATGGGAAAACTTATTTGCTAATGATACATCAGATAGAGGTTTGATCTCCAAGATATATAAAGAACTCACTGGACTCCACTCCAAGAAGACAAACGACCCAATCAAAAAATGGGCAAAGGACCTGGACAGACGCTTCTCCAAGGAGGAGATACAGAGGGCCCAGAGGCATTTGAAAGGATGCTCAGCATCACTAGCCATCAGAGAAATGCAGATCAAAACCACCATGAGGTACCACCTCACACCAGTCAGAGTGGCCATCATAAACAGATCCACAAACAACAGGTGCTGGCGAGGCTGTGGACAAAAGGGAACTCTAGTACACTGTTGGTGGGAATGCAGACTGGTGCAGCCAGTGTGGAAAGCAGTGTGGAATTTCCTCAAAAAGCTGAAAATGGAACTGCCTTTTGATCCAGTGATTCCCCTGCTTGGACTATACCCTAAGAATACCAAAACGCCAATACAAAAGAACCTATGCACCCCAATGTTCACAGCAGCACAATTTACCATAGCCAAGTGCTGGAAGCAACCTAAATGCCCATCAGTAGATAACTGGATCAAAAAACTATGGTACATATACACAATGGAATACTACGCAGCAGAAAGAAAAAAAGAAGCACTAAACTTCACGACAGCATAGATGTAACTGGAGAGCATTATGCTAAGCGAAATAAGCCAGGGGCGAATGACAAATACCATAAGATTTCACCTAGAAGTGGAACCTAACCAACAATACAAAGATGCAAGGAAAATAAGACCAGCAACAATGAAAGGTAAAGAAATCAACAGAGACAAGAGGGAAGGAGGGAGGGGGGCTGGGAAAAGGAAGGGAAGGGGAAAGTCAAGGAACATATAGCAAGGACTCATGGGCAAAACCAAAGGGGAAGAGCTGAGGGAGGGAAGGAGCGAGGGGGTGGAGGTAGGCAGAGACACATGTATTTTAAAAAATAAATTAAAATAAAATTTAAAAAAAGAAAGAAAAAATAAATAAAAATAAATTTTAAAAAAAGAAGAAAAAAAAAGAAGTTTCATATCTCAGCAAATAATCTTGGTGAATGCTCCTTATTCACTTAAAAAGAATGTGTATTCTGCAGTTGTGGGGTGTAGTGTTCTATAAATACTAATGAGTGTTAAGTCTTTATCCTTGCTGATTATCTGTCTTCTTATTCTATCAATTCCTCAGTGAGAAGTGTTAAAATTTCCAACTGTGAGTGTGGACTGGTCTATCTCTCCTTTCAATTCTTACAGCTTTTCTGTTTTTTATTTTTTGTATTTGAAGCTCTGTATTAGGCATTAAATATTTAGAATTTTTATGTCTTCCTGACGAGCTAAATTGTTTCAGTATGAAATATCCTTCTTGATCTGTGTCAATACACCTTGTTCTAAAGTCCACTTTGTCTACCTGGCTGGGTAGCTCAGTTGATGAGAGAGCATTGCCTTGATATGCCAAGGTTTTGAATTCCGTCCCTGGTCAGGGTGTTAGGATGTGTCTGCCTCTCTCTTTCTCTTTTCTTTCCCATTCCCTACCTCGCCAAAATCAATCAATCAATAAATGAACTCTTCTTTGTCTAATATTAGTAAAGCTATTCCAGCCTTCTTATCATTAGTATACCTACAAGTTTTGATGCACACACTAAAGAAAATAGTAGTTAAATCTCATTAACAAAACGTAAGTGGTGATTTAAAGCCATTGCTTATTAACGTACACGAAACAATCGGATTAAGAATATATGTGGATATATAGCTCTTTCATGAACTGACCTCATCAATAAAAGGTATCAGTACCACAGCTTCCCATTCCTGTTGTTTCCCATTTAGATCAGTTTTAAAATCAGGTGGATAATATTCTATAATTGGTGAGTCCTCACTGGTCATCAAATGCTGTGGAAAGACACAATAGTGTAACAGATATAAAACTATCAATACAGCTTATTGTTAATATATTTATAATGTCTCCTCAAAGTTTAAAATTTCTAAGCAAAGCAAAACTAAATTTTTACATCTCAGATACACTGCAATATACTTGCTATATTTTGATGTTCACCCATAACTTCACTGCTACTCATCTCTCTACCATTCCCCTGGTTATAAGGCACAACTGTACTCTGAATTTTAATTTTATCATTTCTATCTTTCCTTGTCTTTTCACTGTACAGACTCCCCTAAATTCTGTTTTCCCATTCAAACTTCAGTTTATTACACAGGCTTCTAACAGTCCTTCCTTTTTAACCTTAAATTAAATAATTTATTTTCATGCCCTAATCAACTGATTTTATTAAATCATAAGTAATATAAGAACTGTCATCTAAGATAATTTAAAAATAAAAAAAATCCTAAAATCCAAGAATCTCTTCACTACTAATAGCAAAGATAAAAAGTCCAAAAACACATTTTTATTAGAGCTTTTGTAATAGAGGTGGAAAATGAAAGCAGAAGAATGTCTTCTAAGAAAGTAAAACAACGTATTTCTCAGAGTAATACTTAAAATATATAGTAACTAGTATGCCATGGGCACACAACAATCAAAACAGACATGGCTATAAAACATGCATTGTTGTATTGCTTCCGAGTAACTGAGTATCAATCTTTAATATATCTAAAGGTAAGAAAGAAGCATCAAAGAAACTTAAGAAGAAAGGGCGACCAAAGGGGCCAGTGTGGAAGTGTGGACGACACGTTGTTTCAGAAATATGCAGAAGGGAGCATGACACTGTTCAAGAAACACAGTACGTATGCATGCCCACGTATGTGTGTCTACTCTAGTTCCTGGGATCAGACGACAGAATTAGAACAGACTTGATACTCTAACTCTAGAAGTTCTAAATGAATTTTACCCCCAGAATCAGCTTAGCAGGCTTTGTGTAATTTTGGTGACTCAAATAAATTGTCCCTAAATATCTGCACCAATATGTAAACTATGTTAACCAGAGAAAAGCCTTTCATTCCACAGTTTGATAAATGAAATGCTTAAAACCCAAATATAAACTGAGGTAATACTTCTGTTGAGATAAATGACCTATCAGAACCTTAACCATTGTAATAGGTAGAAGGTAAAAGAGAACAAGAATGAAATAAGTAAACGTTGGACAAAGCTGGTAACTTCAGATTTTCCCTGACTCAGTTTATTTTCATCAATGCAGAGACAAACTAAAGATTTGCACAGAGGTGCTGAAAATGAAAAGGCTACGCTCTGAATAGTTTGTAGAGTTTGCCTGCATTTTTAAAACAATGCTAACTTTAAATCAGAAATACGTTTGAGGGACTTAAGAACTACTGTATTTGAAAATAAAAATATATTTAGCTATTAAAGAAATTTGAGCGGTATGTCTCCAGGTCTGGAGGAGGAGCTTCCAAACATTAAAAAAGAATATAAGAACATTTAATTCTATAACCCACCTGGTAACATGTAGGAAGTAAATTTTTGCTAGCTGCTGGAAGTACAGCAAGAAGCTGTTCAAATGGCTTAAAAGGCTTTCCTAGTTCAAAATGGATTTTGAGTGTACTGATGTTGCGGATATCAGATAGGAAAGGTGCATAATGGTAAGGATAATACCTATAAAACAAAACTGAGTTTTAAACAAATGGTAATGTTATGAAACAAGTCAATATTAAGTAATATGTGTCCATATTTTATAACACACCAATAACGCTAAAGAAAAAAAAATATCACCCATATTTCTACCACTTGAGTATAAGAAATCAGTAATCTGAAAAATTTAGGTCATATGATGGAGACAAATGTTATATTTACTTAATTTTTAAAGTATGGCTTTACACAATTCCAAAATTGGGATGTACAATGTAACTGAAGGATATATATAACATAAAGGTTTAGTTCCCAAAATGCTGAGTGTGAATTTTCCAATCAATACGTTCTTAGAATAAAGTAATGAGATAATCAGAAGACTCAGTAAGCCTGGGCCTCTGCCATGAAGACAAAGAGAACAGTGAATCTGAGCTTATATGACTCTTACTCGTCAACTCTAAGAACTTTTATATTTGAATTACTATTTATATTATGTTTGTGATAAGGATTAAAATATTTATCAGTCACACAACTATTTTTGTTTTTAATACATTCCCATCTTTATAGGTATAAGTATTTTTTAAAAAGCTTTGCACATACAATTTTTTTTAAATGTCAATATTCTTAATATTTGACTAAGGATACCCAAAAAATGACAAATATTTTTTATAGTCCACAATTATGGCATATTTGAAATGAATGGAAAAGTTCAGGAAGTAGAATGGCATGTGGAATAATGGAAAATGTAAAGACTTTGGAATCAGACAGGCTTAGACTTGATTCTTTGTGGTGTGTATGACCTTGTAAAGATCATTTAACCTCTTTTTTGAGCCTCATCTGCAAAAGGTAGAGAACAAAGCTTAATTTAAATGGCGGTAAGGATTGTATGAGGAAGAATCTGCTTTTTAAGTGCTTGGCTTTAATACCAGTACTATGATAGGAGTAACTTATACTCCCCCACTTAAAAAAGGCAAATCAAGGATTTTTGTCATGAGAAAACTCTTCAAAGAGGTCCTGAGAATCCGGTTAGTTATAGGAAAGATTTTTTAAAAGGCCTTTAGTAAGTGAAATTATAATTAATGTTACAGTATCTTGCTCTGTTTTGTTTTGCTATCTGGTGCTTTAAAATAAAGCCTAGCACAGGTGCCCTGAAAACAAAACAAAACAAAACAAAACAAAACAAAACAAAACAAAACAAAGTTATCTCATTACCTAAAAGTCTCTACCTTTCCCTACATCATTTTTTGGTTTATTTTTCTATTTGAGTGTTTGGTTTGGAAATGTAGATGGGACATGCTGGAATAGGAAGCTTGAGAGAAATGAAAAATTACTATTTCCAGGAAAAGCAAATAATTCTTCTTTCTTCTTTACGTTTCACAGTCTAACATTCAAACAATCCATTCCTCAATAATTACTCCTGATAAAAGAATGTTCTCAAACACAAAAAAGTAGAAAAGAATATAATGAACAACCCCACATAACAATAACTCAGACTCATTAATTCTAAAGACTTTGTCGGACCTGATTCATCATAATAAAGAGTTTTAAAGCCTTAGATTAACAAAAGACTTTTACAATGGGCCATCTGCCAGGGCTGAAAGTATATCTGTTATACCACAGTCTTTTTAAAGCGTTTTAATCTAAGACAAGATTACCTGTATTTCACTTAAACTTGGCTGTATCTTTCAAAAAAAATACTGCCAAAAATAGAAATAAAAGGCAAAGAAATCTCCAAATGAGACTACATTAATGAACCATTATTAAAAGACATTTTCTTTTTGTATTCCCTCACCAGCTCCAGGACTGAACTCCATGATAGTAATAGTGCAAAATCCACTGTATTGCCTGAATATAACACGCAGCTTGATCAGCCAGAAAATCACTGAAAACAGAAAAGAATATTTTCATTATAACATTTTTTTTTAAAGACAGGACATTGTCTTTAGAGCATGATATCTGCTGATACCACATTCTGCCTCAATGTTTTATTTAATCAATGAATAAGGTAAATAATTATAATCAGAAAAACTCCAAAATATTATTTTTTAAAAATTCCATTCTGTCAGATTAAAGGTTTGCCTTATATTTTTCCTAAACTAACTACCAGTATATTTAAACCTGCTGTGCATATTTATTCAGTCAATGAACTATGCTTTGGTTTAAAAGTTGACACTTTAGCCAATGCAGCTTTCCATAAAGTGGCACTACCACTCCCTTAAATAGATGGGGTACTTTGAGAGATAGGGATAGGAATTTTCTTCCTCTGGGAGGATGCCTAAGAGAATCACAGAGAGAAATCAGAAGCATCTTAAAATCTGGTTATAGCAGCTAGAATACACTTTGGAAAGTGCTATATCCATAGACTATTTTCCCTCCAATACCTTCTTCTTTCTCAAAACATGCCATTTAAAGTTAAAATAATTCTGGGGTGGGGGGGAAAGAGCCTCACGCTAGAGCCAAAAGTGCTTATAACCTTGTTAGTGTCTACTACCAAAATTCAGGTGAAGACACACTTAAATATTCCAGATCTCCAGTGTTCAGAGAGGCATACTCTTGAAAATGAAATGTATTACTTTTTTGTTATAAAAGAAATACATCCTCATTATTGAAAATCCAGATAATGAAGAAAAGTATTTTTTATCACCTTATAGCAATTACTATTACATTTTGCTATGTTTCTTTTCAGTCTTTTTTTATATGCCCAGGTTGTTTGTTTTTTTAAATGAGAGTACACTACACACACACAAGCACGCATGCACGCGCACACGACTTTGTGTTCTGCTTTTAAAACTTGTACTCATTAATAATATAAGTATCTTTCTAAATTTTTATGGACTTTCTCTAAGTACAAGTTTAGCAATTCTGCAGATTTTGGTGTAGATCCAGAAATGGTGACTACGATGAGGAGGAAGTGAAGATGATTAGGAAGAACCTCCTTAGTGAAAATGTAGATTTATAATTTTTTTACTGTTATAAAAAACTGTGTAATAAACATCCTTGTGTATAAAAACTTCTGTTTGAGTTAAATTCTTTTATTTTATTGTTTTTTCAATTACAGTTGTCCCTATTTAAGGGTAACAATTAGAATTATTGGGTCAAAGGGGTAAATATTTTAAAGACTTCTGGATATGTATTTTCCAAAATAATTTTACCAATATATATTCTCACCAGTAAATAAGGGGAGAACTCTACCACTACCTCGGACCAGTAATGAACACAACAATTTAAAAAGATTTGTTTATTTGCTAGGCAAATAAGTGGTATCTTATTTTCATAATTCTATATTTTAATATATAAAAAGAAGGGAAATAAAAGCAAAAACTAGTTACCTATCAAATTAAGCATTTAGTGCCAACTGCAGGGACTATAGTTTACATAACTGTAATCAAGGAAATAAGAATTAAGGAATAAAAGATTAAAAGCACAGTTATAAATATTTTATTTCTCAAGTCTCAAAAGTACTACATACTAATGCCAACTGAAAAACCTTCAAATGAGCTGGTGAATTGTACTAGACTTCCTTTATCTCTAGTTACTGGAGGTCAGGATAAATACAGACACTTTTGAAAGACTATGTCTAGGCTGGAAGACAGTCTGAGAGCATATACAGCTACATCTGAAAGGTCAGGTCTATCCCTGGGCAGACTCTATAAAAGATCTAATACTTAGTACTTCATTATATTTGGAAAAAAACTAAAAATAATAGGATAGAAAATATTTTATATTGCATATAACAAGGGTACATAGCATTTCATGAAACTCATTTTACTAATAGAGAAGCAGCCTCATCTTGTGGTTGGGAGCGTAAGTTCTGAAGCCAGACTGTCTATGTTCAAATCCTGGCTATGCCACTCACTACCTATGTCACCTTGAGCACCTTCCAGTCCTTAATTTCCTCTATTGTACAATAATAATAATCCCACTCATTTTAAAGTATTGTTGTGAGAATTAAATGAGTTAATATATATAAATGATTAAAATAGTGCGTGACACTTGATAAGCACTTTATAACTGTTAATTAAAATAAATAAAATACGATCACATGTAATTCATACAGTGGACTGCAGTTTAAAAACAAAAGCTACCATTCTAGAGATTAAGTTTTTAAGAAACTTTTAGATAGGTATTAACCTAGGGTTGAGCCAGGTGCCCTGTAGGGTAAGCGTGACATGAGCTTTAGAAGACAGAAGCAAAAAACTAACCATTTTCTATTTGGCAATTTTATCACAGGAATTCAGCACATGCCAGTTAATATCACCTTCTCCAAAACCATACTAGTTGAAAGATTGAGAATAATTTATGAAACCAAAAAAATCCTTCTTTCCTACTACCTTAACTATAAAAATTATGCTGTTTTATGAAAACCTACAAAATCGAATTATTTCCAAAGTATAAGAATTGGCAAAAACGTACTCAGACACTACGTCAACTCCCATCTTCGTCATGTAGTATGTTCTTTTATATTGCCTAAACTCAGTTTCAAATAGGTCATCATCTTCAGTCTCATCTTCTAAATTTTCTGAAAAACAAGCCAGAAATATAGTGGCTGACAATTACGAGTATTTTGTTTTTCCATCTAAAGCTTTGATAAATACATAGCAAAGCAGGTATTTATAAGCTATCATCGAAATCTGTTCCATCCAATATTATTGACTTAGTACTAATACAGGAGAGATATAACAACCATTCTGTCAAAAAAATAACATATTGAAATGCATAGTTTGTACTCACCCTTGGAAGTTACCGCTTCTCTATTTTTATCTAAAGCAGCCCAACATACAGAGTTTTCCTGGCCCTATAAAAATTATAAATCAATATGAAATTAATGGTAAGTTACATTTCAAAGTGAGACATTTCACAGGGGTATTTCTAAAAATAAAGGAAATATCCTTCAGTGACGCACTATAAAAATTTATTTTTAAAAATAATTTTCAAATACTATGTAAATGTTTTTGGTTTTATATAACCTGTTTCCTAAAGCTATATGTAGAACTTAACATTCAAGCCTCTCAAAAATATGTAGTAATTGCCATAACTAAAATGGAGAAATATAATTAATGACATGTGTTTCGAAGAAAAACACTTCAAGAATATTTCATTTACTTAGAGAAAAAGATACAATCAATATCAAATCCTTTTACAATTTATCAATCTTAAAAATTGTTTTTAAAGATTTTATTTATTTATTTTAAGAGAGGAGAAGGGAAGGAGGAAGAGAGGGAGAGAAGCATCAAATCAATGTGTGGTTGTCTCTCGTAAGTCCCCCACTGGAGGCACGTGCCCTAGACTGGGAATCAAACCCTTTGGTTTGCAGGCTGGCACTCAATCCAATAAGCCACAGCAGTCAGGACAATCTTAACACTTTTATGCGTCAAGTTCTCGATTACCTTTAACACAAAATACTTGATTATGATGGAATCCAATGATTACAAACATCACCTACGTTCTCCGTCTCTGGATCCTGTCATTCTTATGACTCCATTACCTCCCCTCCACATCTAAATTTTTCTCCTTTGCAACTCATTTGCTTTTCTATAGTTCTTCCAGCTCATCACAACCTTCCTATCTTTTCCCTCTCTTGTGGTCTCACCTTTTCTCCCTTCTATTTTCTGACTGCCAGTGACTCTCATTACTGTAGTTCTTCACATTCCCTACCCTCATAATTTCCTTTTCTTCAGGCAAACGAGGGCCTCTGCCAACTTCTTGTGCCTGGGTAGATCCTCCAGTTCCTCTCATTTTACTAGTGTCTCTACAGTTAACCACATATGCCTGGAACACATGTGAAGTTTAAGGACTGAACTGAGGTGGGCAGAACCAGGAATTACTGTTATGTAAGTTTTATGAGTTCAAGTTCCCAAAAAGTTGCAGAGTCTCAGGTGGCTCAGTTGGTTGGAGTGTCATTCTCATACCAAAAGGTCGCAGGTTTAATGCCCAGCCATGGCACATACTTAGACTGCAGGTTCTATCCCCATTTGTGCAGCAAATGGGAGCAACTGATTAATGTTTCCCTCTCTCTTCCTATTCCTCTCTAAAATCAATAAACATATCCTCAGGTGAGGACTGGAAAAAAAAAAAGGTTACAGAGGCTGTTTTCTTTAAGAGAAAAACCACAAAGTAGAATGCAGACTGACTGCTGCTACGTTTCACTAAGAAAAACCTAATCAATTAAAGGACTTTACTAGAGAAAAATCAAGATAGTTGCTCCTCCTGGTACAGGAGTCCTAATTAAAACCAGTACAGCAAGGAAAATACAGGAAACTCATCAATTTCTGAAGAATACAAATTGTTATAGATAAGCTGAGGAAATTTTCAGAAAAGGTTTATTTTCCAAGTTAACACACACATGTAAGACATTCTTTAGACCTTATCAGAGATCTTTTACACAGTACTAACATATTATAACTAATTTATTGAGGGCCAAACACAAGATATTGTGTTATTAATCACTCAACCTGGCTTTTTGCAGTATTATATACATGATTTTATGTACAAATTATTTCTACAGAAAAATCACTGATTTAGTTAATGTCTCATAACATTAAATGCTATATATATATATCCTCATTTTAAAAAGATAACTAACTTCTGGGCTCTTACATTTAGAAACATTTTCTACATTTTTAAAAGAATAGGAGAGCAGTCCTGGCTGGTGTTGCTCAGTGGATTGAGTGCTGGCCTGTGAACTAAAGGATCGCTAGCTCGATTCCCACTAAGGGCACATGCCTGAGTTGCAGGCCACACCCCCAGTAGGGGGCACTCAAGAGGCAACCACACATTGCTGTTTCTCTCCCTCTCTTTCTCCCTCCCTTCCCCTCTCCAAAAATAAGTAAAATCTTTTTTTTTTTTTTTTTTTAAAAAGGAGAGCAAAGGAAACATAATGTTCTTCAAGGGCAAAATAAGAAACTGATTTTTAAAAATCAGATTTAAATGATAGGATCTAATAGAGAAAGAGAAACCAAAACAATTTTTAAAATGTACATACAGAAGAAGGCATGAAAATGAAATGAAGCAACCCCAAAATCATAAGAAAGAAAATGAGAAACAAAGAATATCAGTTTTACCTTTACAGCTAAAAAAATGAAAGGACACCTAAAAAAATGAACACCTTTGATTTTTTCTTTTCCTTGTAGTTCTTGGCTTCTTCTGCTGCAACACCTGCCGCTTCATTGAGGTACTTGTTACCAACTTTGCTTTCAAACCACTTTAGGTCCACAAAAACTTCACTGAAGTGCTCCCGATCAAACTGAACAGAAATATTTAAGTTTATTTAAAAATCATTTAAGTATGTCTGGAAGAATACAAACCAAACCCTTAACATGGATTATACTTCTGGGGCACAGTAAATCAGACAATGTTACTTCTGTATGCACATGGGGATCTCATCTACTACTCTGAAAAATCACAAATAAAAAGCAAAAAAAATAATATAGGTAAAATTATTTACACAGGATAACCAATAGGATGAGAATTACAAAAAATTTTTCTTCTATTATTAAGTAATTGCTAAGTGACCATTTCCAGCTACCCTGGGACAGGAAAACAAAAACTTCTGGTTACTTACATCTGATAATTTCACAAGGTATTTCTCAAATCGAGGTAAGTTGAGGTGCCCACTTTCATTAATGTAACCTAAAAGAAACAAAATCTAAATTTGGACAAAAAGCTGGTATTTTTTCTAAACAATTCAACAAAATTCTTTTTATAAAATACTGAATGTTACATTCTACTAAACAAAGGAAAACACTGTATTGGACTACATATAACTGGCTCTAGTTTCTATGAACTTGCTATTACACTAATATACAATAAATAAGACCTGAAGCAAAATGTAAGAAATTCCAGGTTCACATAATAATAACCTATCCACATTTCCAACATATTGTAACAGTTATTTAAATTAAATATGTTCTAGAATGTAACCATTTGATGTTACCTTGAGAAGAAAAGGATGACTATCCTGTTATTCTGTTTTTTATTCAGCATCACCACTGTTTGTGAATTTCCTATTTTAACTGAAAAATCCTTCCTTCCTATTAAATAATCTAATTGCCTACCCATTCAGAAAAACTGAATTTCTATGCTTAAATATGAAAGAACCTAAGTGAAACCAACAACTTCTATTGAGTTTCTTAAACAATTAAAGGCAGAAACTAATTAGGTATCAATAAATGAGGCTGCACAATTCTAGTCATTTTTTTAGCTTATGAACTATTGAAAACTATAACCTCAAAGCTTGGAACCTTAAATCAAAACAAGACCCTAATTTTTTCCTACTTTAGTTGTGCATGCAATAATCTAATGAACTGAATGACATTTTTAGAGTTAGCTGAGTGCTAAGTTAAAGTGCCACAAATGAATATTAAACTTTGTTTACCCCCAAGTTCTGGCAGGATGTTAATATATGTTCCATAAAGAAGAGGCAGTGCATCATGATTAATATGTAAGTGAGGTAGATGAGGGATAAAATCATTGCCAACAAGAAATCCCATCAAAATCCAATCATCTATTATCCTTTCAATATCATATTTAAATGTGATCTTGTCCTAGAGTAAAATGGAAAAAGAAGTCAAGTCCTATGCAACTTTCTGCATATACATCTTTGGTCCACAGAGATAGTAATACTTACTTTTAACACTGAAAACTCATAGTCAATATATTCTCTCATTAAAGACAAGTGTAGAAGGTGAAATGTGGTTTCTTCTGGTGCACATACCCTGTAATTAGTTAGATGATCAACAGTTAATTATATATATATTTAGAATTAATTATATTTTTAAGGTTCAGACTTCAAAACGTAGCAAGGCTTAAAATAAAACTTATCATAGAAGATAATTTTTGTACACAAGGCATGCAATTTATATGAAAGCTGCAGGGTAATGTAAAAAAATGTAATTGCAATTATAATACATGTATCACAAATTTCAAAATAATTGGTTTACATTATGCTTTCTGTGGAAGGATTCTAAGAATTAAGAAAGCCAGTAATATATAGTAGATATAAGAAACCATGGGGTCTGGCCCATTTAAGGCTGTCCACCAGCAGACAGTAGACAGATAAATGAATATATACTTTTATGTAAATGTACTGCAGTACAGTCCAAAGCTTCAATGCTGAGACACTATTGGTAGGGGAACTCAAGAATTAAAGATTTTAGCTTCAGTTATAGGTGACAGGTTTAAGTGATTAATGCATATTGAAAGCTTTTATTCCAGGAACTGGAACGCATGATTCTAAGAGGTCAACAAGCAAATCAACCTTTTGGTCCTACAGGGTCTGCAAGAGATGGTATCTGAGTCATTGTGTTCCAGACAGTCAGCTTTGGGACTCAGATAAAAAATTGCTGATCAGCAGGTAAATATTAGGTAAATTGCCTCTGGAAGGCAATTAACCTTTTCCCAAATCCCTTACCTACTTGTTCTTTCTTCCTATAAAAAGGGTCAACTTGAGATGAGATGTTATGAGGAATCTGAGGGTCCATAACCTACCACCTTCTCAAATCGCTGGCATCTCAATCAAGTGCCCATAAAGATTCAACATGTCTCTGCTTATTGGTTCTGGCAGTGATAGGAAGCAGGAATGTTGATTTACCTGGTTTCACTGTCACTTCTTATCTTTCCCTGGTTTGTTCTATATTCCTGGCTGTTAGTCTATACTCCAATCTCCAATTACAAGTAAGAATACAAGCTAACGATAGTGTATTAAAAGGATTATACATCAACAGCAAGTGGAACTTATCCCAGGACTGCAAAGATGATTCAACATAAGAGAAAAATTGATGTTAACACAGCACGTTAATAAACAAAGGAAAAAACACCCCATAATCATTTAGCAGAAAAAAACTGTCAAAATTCAACACCCTTTCATGATAAAAAAACACCCAGCTAAGTAGGAATAAAATGAAACTTCCTTAATCTAGTAAAGAGAACTTAAAAAAAAACAACAACAACAAAACATACAGCTAACATCATACTCAATGACTCAATGGTCAAAGACTGAAAGCTTTCTTTCTAAGATCATGAACAAGTCAAAGATGCCCTTTAACTATAGCTATTTAACATTATTCTCTAAGTCCCATCCAGGGCACTAAGGCAGGAAAACATATACATGGCATTCAAAAGTGGAAAAGAAGAAATAATACTATCTCTATTTACAGATGGCATAGCTCTCTCTACATAAAATCCCATAGAATACACAAAAAAGTTACTAGTACAAAAAAAAATTCACTAGATGCAGACCAAAACACAAAAATCAGTTGTGTTCTAACACAGCAGCAACAAAGAATCCAAAAAGGAAATTAAGAAACAATTCCACTTACAATACCATCCAAAAGAATAAAACACTTAGTAATAAACTTAACCAAGGAAACAAAAGGGAAAAAACAGAAGCAAAAATAAATTCAGATATACAGAGAACAGACTGATGGTACTCAAAGGTTGGGGCGGGGGGGCGGGGTTGGTCTGGGGAGCAAAATGAATGCAGATGGTCAAAGGGTACAAATTCCAATTATAGGTTAAGTAAGTCCAAGGGATATAATGTACAGCATGGTAGAGACATACATATAACATGAGGGAAAAAAAGATGAAAAAAATGAAGCAAACGACTTGTACACTAAAACTACAAAATGCTGCTGGAAGAAATTAAAGAAGACACCACATGTTAATAGACTGGAAGACAATATCAAGATGTAAATAGTACCTGAAAAGGATCTACAGGTTCAATGCCATCCCTAATAAAATACCAAGGATTTTTTTTTTTTACAAAAATAAAAAAAATCGATCCTAAAAATTGTTAGTCTCAGGAGACCCTCAAAAAGCCAAAATAATCCTGAAGAAGAACAAAGTTGGAAGCCTCACTGTTCCTGATTTCAAAACTTACTATAAAGCCACAGTGATCAAAATACTGTGGTACTGCCATAAAGACAGACATATGGACCAATGGACTAGACTATAGAGCCCAGAAACAAACCCTTGCATATACCGTGAAGTGGTGGGAAAACTGGATACTCATATGCCAAAGAATGAAGTTGGACCCTTACCTTAGACCATATACAAAAATTAATTCAACATGGATCAAAGACCTAAATGTGAGAGCTAAAGCTACAAAATTCTTAGAATAAAATGGGAAAAAGCTTTATGACTTTGGATTTGGCAATGATTTCATGCACATTATACTACAAGTATAGGAAACAAAAAATACACTGGACTTCATCACAATTAAAAATTTTTGTGCATCACATAACTATCAAAAGAGTGAAAAAGCACCCTCAGAATGGGAAAGAATATTTACAGATTATTTATCTCTTTAGGGATTAGTATTCTTAATTTAATTTCTGCTTTTTTCTTCCAACATATATACAGCATGATTTACCTCTGTGCCTTCTTGCCACCAAACCGAACCTCTTCTCTTAGAAGAGAGAAATGTGCCTCGTGACTTGTTAATCCAAGCATAATCTGTTGAAAAATGATTAATGTTTCTATTCTCTCCCTTTTTACAGCATCAGGTTCACAAAAGCAATCAAATATTTCTATATAGAGAACACGATTTTTTAAAAAAATGAAACAATTTGTTAGCAAATTAAATATAGAAATATCAAAATATGATCAGTTTATAGGTTATGAATGGGGTAAAGTGAGAGCATTTTTCTAGGACAAAAAATGTGTACCTCAGACACTCACATGACCTTAGACACTCACTCTGCCCAACCCCAACTAAGAGAACCCCAAAACCTTCTCCTGATTTTCACATCTTCCCATTTGCCATGGGGGAATGGGTAAGAAATTAAAAGCAGCAACTTTTCCAATAGCATAAAGTAGGACTCTTTTGGAGCCCAGGATACCTCCACTATGTGAAAACTCAGGAAAAAATGAAAAAGGACATTTTCATTTAATTTTCTCACTTAGTATTCTAATCCCCAAAGTAAGTTAAACAGTCTCATGAGATACATCAATCAATTGCAACGTATATTGTATTTTATTTCAGTACTGATTCAAACAAAAAAGAATGAAATATTTATGAAGTAATCAGGGAAATGAGAATACTAAATGGTTATTTATATATTAAACAGTGACTGCTGATTTTTGTGTTCAATAATAGCATTGTGTTTTTTTAAATAACCTCCTTTAGAGAAACATTATGATAAATTTATAGGTTAAATGATACAAGGTCCAAGACGTGCTTCAAGAATCCAGAGAAGTAGCCCTGGCTAGTGTGGATGAGTGGGTTGAGTTCCGGCCTGCGAACCAAAGGGTCACTGGTTTGATCCCCAGTCAGGGCACATAACTGGGCTGTGGGCCAGGTCCCCAGGGCGGGGTGCATGTGAGAGGCAACCACACACTGATGTTTCTTTCCCTCCCTCTCTTCCTCCCTTCCCCTCTCTCTAAAACTAAATAAACAAAATCTTTAAAAGAGAGAGAATCCAGAGAACTAGGAGAAAGGAGACAGATGGTGAAGGACAGGAGTTGAAAATTATTTAAGGTAAATAAAGGACATGAGTAGGTTCATTACACTATCTCCTGAACTTTTGTTTATGTTTGAAAATTTCCAAAATAAAAATTTAAAAAGAATTTCAGTAAAGTTACTTGAGTCATGGAGTTATCAAATCAGGTGGTATTAAAACTTACGTATCAAGCATGAGGATAAAAAGGGCCCTCTACGCTGACCACAGTCTGTCATTCATAGCATCAGGGTCAGTTAGGTGTGAACACTAACTATAGACACCTGTTGTTCATAACATATGGAAAAAAAGCTCATTTTCCAAATGTTTTTGTAATGGCAATAGTAGCAATCATTATTATATCTCAAATATTTGTTTCCACAGCCAGAAAGCTTCTTACATAAAGAATAAGTATGTTAGATATTTAGCATTGGCTGGTATGGCTCAGTGGACTGAGTGCCAGCCTGCAAACCAAAGGGTCACCAGTTCAATTCCCAGTCAGGGCACATGCCTGGTTTGCAGGCCAGGTCCCCAGTTGGGGGCATGCGCAAGGCAATCACACACTGATGTTTGTCTCCCTGTCTTTCTCCCTTCCTCCCCTCTGCTAAAAATAAATAAATAAAACTCTTAAAAAAAAAAAAAAAGAAATGAAGTATTTTAGCTATTTAACTATAATGGCATGAGGTTATAATAACAATAAACATTATACTTACCAAATCAGCATCTAAACCATAAAGACAGTGTCTGGTGTTTGGATTATGATCTGGTTTTGCTTTCTCAGATCTGATAAATTCCATGATTTTATGCTCTCCTTCTCCAGGAGTCTAAATATAAGGTTTTTAAAATTTTGGTAAAATGATATGCATTAGAATATTAAATTAAAAATAACTCTTTAGATTAAAAAGAAAGATAATACCTCATGGCCTGAGAAATAGATGGTGAGTCCTTGCCATGACTTATCTGTAGAAATTTTCATATTTACAAAGTACTTCAGATGTTCATGTAACCTGGCCATGAATTCAGTCCCTATAAATAAAAGTTTTAAAACGTTTAATTTGAGAGAGACATAAAAACACTGAGTTCCCAATGACGACATAAAAGTGAATCTTGTTCAGGGAATAGGTAAGATCTCCAAAGGAAGTTTCCAAAAGCTTCTTATTTATCTAGAAAAGCAAGTAAGTAATGTTGTACGTTTTCCTGGCAAATATCACAACTGTTTATAATTTCACTGGTTACAGGAAAATTAAGTCAGTGTCGCACTGGGAAAGTCAAGGAATGTTACTACTGTCTCAGGACTACAAATATTTTCACACAAGGAAAAAGTTTAAACTTCCAAATAAACGTCAATCTTCTATTACCTCTGCTGGATTCTGAAGTTTTGTTTTGTAAGGCATACAACTTCAATCAAATTGCTACTAACAACATCAACAAAGGCAACTATTTTTATTATTACTGTTAACCTGAAAATTATTAATCTTGAAACTAAGTCTCAATGATTATGTTTTATGAAAAGCCCAGATGGTCAAATAGACAAGGTAATAAATACAGTCTTAAACTACAATCAGGATTAAATTGGTTATTAAGTCAAGCAATGTGTGATTAGGGCGCTTACTGCAAAGGAAATTATCAGAGTTAGTAAAGAATTCATGAGAAAGTAATATCTTAAGATTATTTTTCAAAGCAAAGGATTATAATGATATTAAACGAAGCTCTAAGAAGTACAGAGTATGTTGTTGCATGTAAAATTAATCTTAATACTGATAAGTTCATTTATCCCTAAAGTCACAGAAGTCTTAAGTGCCTTTGAGATGATGAATAGTTAAGCACTCTGGACTAAAAGAATAACTTTCTTATTTGAAACACAAAAAGCTAGCTACATGAACTTGGATGAGCCACAACCTCACTGAGTCGGTCTTCATATAATAAATAGCAACAAACAGCTTTGGAAGATGGCAGTGAAGCGGGCAGAAGCTATACTAACCTCCTCCCAGGACCAAACTGGAATTACACGTAAATTATAGAAAAATCATCCTGAATACCCAAATGAAGACTAGGTGGAAGGAGGCTTTTATAGAAACAAGGACTTACAGAAGAAACCACATCACCACAAAGAGACTGGTAGGAACTGCGGAGGCGTAAGGAGGCTGGCTGAGATCCCACGGGTGGCAGCTGAAGTTCCAGAGGAATATTTCAGCAGCCAGGGTGTATCCCCCTGAGAACTGTGGGATCTAAATCCCAAGCTGAGCTCCCAAGACTACAACACCAGAACCAGGAAAAGAACCCAAGTAACATCTGGCTGTGAAAAGCAGTGGGAATTCTGTCCAACAGAAAGAGATGGCTGGGTGCACAGATAGCCTCCTAAAGGGCTAACACACAAAATTTCATTTGCAGCCACTTACCCTGAACTCCAGCAGAGGCAAGACAGAGTGGACTACAGCCATATGAGGAGATTCTGGGGTTGGTGGCTCTGGGGAGAGAGCTGAAGGGTCAGCCACCAATATCCCTATGCTGAGTCATTCTCCATACTGCAGAACACAACTTTCTTGGGCAGAGCACTCCCCTCCATGTGGCATCAGCCTGGGGGGAAGCAACATTCCCACCAGCAAGAATCCCTCTTGCCCCACCCTGTGGAGCTTAAGCCCTGCTGCTGAAGAATAGATGGAGATTCTACCAATGATTAAGCCTGAAAGACAACCTGTAGGCAGAAGCAGATCTCTGGGAGCTTTGAGACTTTAGCTGACCCTTCCCCAGGCCAGCACTGGTAAAAGTCAGTCTTGGCACGCAGCTTCATTCCTTCTATAGGCACTCAGACCCAGCAGAGGGAGCCACAAGCTGTGGATCGCTGCTAACAGCTCAAACAGGTTGCCAAGGGCCAGTCACAGGTAGTGTCTGACATAGGTCTACACCAGCATCTTTGCAGATCTACCTAATATATAGAAACAAGCACAAAGAAGCAGCCAAAATTGGAAAACAAAGAAAGAATCCCCAAATAAAAGAACAAGAAAATTCTCCAGAAGAATTGCTAAATGAAATGGAGGCAAGCAATTTACCAGATATAGCATTAAAAGATTATAGAATGTTCAACAGCATGAAAAAAAAACACCCAGAAATCATAAAAGGATGAGACAGAAATAAAGAATATCTGAAATACTTAAAAAAATGACACACTGGAAGCGATAAACTGTAGTTTAGATGAAGCAGGAAAATCAAATCAGCAATTTAAAAGACAAGGTTAAAAAAAAACACCCCAATCAGAGAGGGAGAAAAAAAATTCAGGGTATTTTAAGGCACCTTTAAGACAATAGGAAGTGTAACAACATCCACATCATGGGAATACCAAAAGAAGAGTGAGAGCAAGGGATCGAGAACATATTTGAAAAAATAATGACCAAAAACATCCCCAACATGGTGAAGAAGAAAGACACAGGCCCAAGTAGCACACAGAGTCACAAATACGATGGACCCAAAGAAGCCCACACCAATCACATCATAATTAAAATGGCAAACCTTAAAGACAAGAGGAGAATCTTAAAAGCCACAGAGAAAAGCAGTTACTTACCTATAAGGAAGGTCTCATTGGACTGTCTCCTGATTTCTCAACAGAAACGATTCAGGCCAAAAGGCCTAGCAAGAAATACTTAAGCTGATGAAAAACAAGAGCCTACAACCAAGGCTACTTTACCCAGAAAAATTTAAAATTTAAAATTAAGAAATATAGAGCTTCCCAGACATGAAAAAGCTGAAGGTGTTTGTTACCACTGAAACAATATTGCAACAAATGTTAAAGGGGTTTCTTTAAGAAGAGGAAGGGAAAAAAAAGAGAAAAATAATTAAATAATAAAATGACAATACATACATATCTATCATAATCACTTTAAATGTAAAACTTCCTAAATGATCCAACAGAAAGACATAGGGTAGCTGACTGGATAAGAAACAAGACACACATATATGCATGCTATCTTTGGGACACCATCTGCAAAACAGAAAACAGAACAGAGTAAAAGTAAAGGGATGGGAAAGGATTATCATTAAAACGGAAAGGAAAAAAAAAAGTTGGGGTAGCAATACTTGTATCTGACAAAATAAACTTTAAAATCAAGGCTATAGTAAGGATACTACATAATGATAACGGGAAAAATCCAACAAGAGCATATAACCCTAGTAAACATTTATGCACCCAACATAGGAGCGTCTAAATATTAAAGCAAATCTTAATGGATATAAAGGGACAGACTGACAGAAATATAGTCACAGCTGGTGAACAAGATAGGAAAGAAAGGACTCTCCGCTTTCACCACTCTTACTCATCATAGTACTAGAAGTCCTAGCCATAGCAATCAGGCAAGAAGAAGGAGAAATAAAAGGCATCCAAATTGGAAAGGAAGAAGTAAAAGTGTCATTATGTGCAGATAATATGATACTACTGAGAAACTACCAGAACTGATAAATGAAGTGGGAGATTACAAAATTAATATCCAGAAATCAATTCCATTCACAATTGCTTAAAAAAAATAAAATAACTAGGAATAAATTTAACCAAGAATGTAACAGACATGTATGTGTAAATTATAAAACACAAAAGAAAGACAGTAAAGAAGATACAAATATGTGGAAGCATAAACCGTGTTCACAGATAGAAAGTATTAACATCATTGAAATGTCCATACTAACAAAAGCAATCTACAGACTGACTGCAATTCCTATCAAGATACCAATGACATATTTTACATAACTACAACAAATATTTCAAAACTCTATGTGGAACCACAAAGGAATCTAAATAGCAAGAGCTACCTTGAGAACGAAGAATGAACTTGGAGGAATCACGCTGCCTACTACCAAACTATACTATACAGCCATAGTAATAAAACATCATGGGACTGGCATAAAAAGACATATAGATCAATACAACACAAGAGAGCCCAGAAATAAACCCACGCTTTTATAGTCAATTAATGTTTGACAGAGGGGCAAACACATACGATGGGATAAAGACAGTTTTTTCAATAAATGGTATTGGTAAATTGGACAGCTATGTGCAGAAAAATGAAACTAGACTACCTTCTTAAATCACACACAAGAATAAATTCAAAACTTATTGAAGACTTAAATGTTAGATACAAAACCATAAAAATCCCAGAAAACAGTGGCAAAAAAATCTCAACATCGTTCGTACCAGTATCTTTTCTGATGTATCTCCTCAGGCAAGGGAAACAAGAAAAAATAAACAAATGGAAGTACATCAAACTAAAAAGACTTTGCACAGCAAAGGAAACCATCAAGAAAACAAAAGACCCCCACTAAATTTGAGAACATATTTGCCAAAACATGTGATTAAGAGTTAATATCCAAAATTTTTAAAGAACTTAAAAACCCAAAACACTAATTAAAAGAATATAAGCACCCCTAGGAACGCTGCAACGTTATTTAAAATAGCCAAGATATGGAAGGAGCCCAAGTGTCCATCAGCAGCAGAGTGGATAAAACAACTACGGGACATTAACACAATAGAATACTACTCTGCCATAAAAAAGAAAAGAATTTTACCCTTTGCAACAGCATGGAGGAGCCTTGAGAACATTAAGCAAAGTGAAAAAAGCCACTCAGAGAAAGACAAATACCATATGACTTCACTCATATGTGGGATCTAATGAACAAACTGAACTAACATGCAAAATAGAGACAGACTCATAGAAAACAGACTGACAGCTCTTAGGGAGGGGGGGTATTGTGGGGTGGAGGGATTAGGCAAAGAAAAGAAAGGACTCATAGAGACAGACAACAGTGTGGAAAATGTTGGGGGTGGGGGGCTAGGTGGGTGTGTGGAGGTAGAACAGGTAATAAGAGGAATAAATGGCAATGGAACAAATTATAATAAAAAAACTACTACTGGTCAAGATGGAGACATAGGTAAACATGGCTTGCCTCCTTGCACAACCACATCCAAATAACAAGTAAAACATAGAACAACCATCACTCTAAACTATCAGAAATCACGTTGAATGAAGTCTCACAACTATGGATTTAAAGAAACCACATTCATCCAGATTCAAAGAAGGGGCAGAGATGCAGAATGGGCTGGTCCCTAGTCCATGTGTGGCAGATAAAAACTCAGGAGGGTTATCTCAGGATCAAGGAGTCCCATTCCCGAACCAGGATCCCCAGCCCAGGGTTCCAGTGTCAGAAGTAAGTTCCCATAACATCTACTGCAAAAACCAGCAGGGATTGAGTTGGTGGATAAAACTTCTGGAGTCCCAAGCAGTTCCTCTTAAGGAACCCACAGACTGACTCAGACTCGCTCCCTCTGAGCTCCAGCATGAGGGCAGCAGCTTTCTCCCAGACAGAAAGGTGGGGAGAGGCCATTGTCCTTTTTATGAACCCTCCCCCAACAGAGCCACAGAGCCGGCAGACTGGTGCCATATCTGAGTTTCCATCAACCCTACTCTGTATGGCCCAACCAGGAGATCCACAGAGATTCTGTCCCAACCAGGTTATGGGCCCACCCAAGCTGCTTTTCCATATGAATGACTGGTCTTGGCTCATGCTTCTCAACTTCCTAAATCCTCTCAAACAAGCTATAGCCAAGTGTGGCAGTAGGAGGAGAGAGAGAGAGCAAGCAACTGGAAATCTATTTGAAAAAATAATAAAGAAAACTTCCCTAATTTGGTGAAGGAAACAGACATGCAAGTCCTAGAAGCACAGAAAGTCCCAAACAAGATGGATACAAAAGAGACCCACTCCAAGACACATAATAATTAAAATGACAAAGGTTAAAGATAAAGAGGGAATCTTAAAAGTAGCAAGAGAAAAGCAGGTAGTTACCTACTGGGGAATGTCCATAAGACTTCCAGCTGATTTTTTAGAAGCAGCTTTGCAGGCTAGAAGGGATTGGTAAGAAATATTCAACATCATGAAAAGCTGGGAGCTACAGCCAAGATTGCTCTACCCAGCGAAGCTATTGTTTAGAATTGAAGGGCAGATAAAGAGCATCCCAGACAAGAAAAAACTAAAGGAGTTCATCATCACCAAACCATTATTATATGAAAGATTAAAGGGACTTATTTAAGAAAAAAAAGATCAAAATTATTAACAATGAAATGGCAATACATATCAACAACTGAATCTAAAAAATAAACTAAGCATACAAGAACAGAGTCAGAATCACAGATATGTAGAGTGTTTTGATGTTTGCTAGATGGGATGGGCTTGTAGGGGAATGGGTAAAGAGGTGAGAGGATTAAAAAGTACAAATAGGTAGTTATAGAATAGCCATGGGGATGTCAAGTCCAGTACAGGAAATGGAGTAGCCAAAGAACTTATACACATGACCCATCGGCATAAACAATGGTGTGGGGGTTGCTTGAAGGAGTAGGAGGGAAGGGTGGAGGGGGCAAAGGGAGAATATTTGGGAGAGCTGTAATAGCATAATCAATAACATATAATTAAAAAATAAAAAATAAACTAAAAAATAAAATAAAATCTTGACTCCCTTGTAAGTAAGTAAATAGTGACATGAGAATGAATCTTGTAAGTTCCTTTAGGTATGAAATTCTGTACATCTGAAAGAGTCCACTCTATAGTTGCTCTCATCAACATCTGTAAATCCCTAGTGGTTCTTCATAGGAGCAATTAAAGACCAAGGCAACCAAACCATCTCATGAGGAGACAAAAACTGAAAAAATAAAGCAAATGGAATCTTAAAGACAAAATAAATAGAGACTAGAAAAGAAAAAATACATTTGAAAAAAATTAAAATTTCCATTTTTAATCTTTTAGAACTTTTTTCTTAGTGAATTTACCTGGTGTAATACAGTTCGAATCAAATCTGGCCTCTGTAGGAAGAGTTTCTCCTTTCTCTATTGCCTTTTTTATTTTGTCTTCTGCCTCCTTTGCTGACCTTAAAGGATAAGGGGAAAAGTACCTTATACTTTCTGGGACAAAAGAGAGATCTTTATATGAAGTAAACTGTTATTTAGATGCTTTTATAACTAAAATACTAATCCATCAATTTTAATGTTCAAAACAAGTTTTGAAATAAATTATAATTGATAAAGATGAGCCTTAGTACTGTTTGTTTTAATATATTTAAAGAATTGAGTTTTTCAGATAAGGATTATAGTAGTAGAAGAATAATATAACAATATAAAACTGACAGAACATTACAAATACTTATAAAGTAATTCTCATCACAAGTATACAGCAAATTGATTCTAAAATCAAGCTCAAAAGTATAATATTAAACTTTCACTATACGGGGGGGAGTAGTTTTACAGTTGTAAGTACATGAAACAGTTTATTCTTCTATTATTATTTATTAATTATTGTATTATTTTCCATATGAACTGTTAATCTACTTTTGCCCCACCCTGTATGCACATTTAATAATATCAATCAATAAGTACATTCTTAACCTAATCTCTAAGAATAGTACATAAAAATAATTATAAAATCGTAATGTGTATCTTTAGGTTTCTTTATAAAAACATTTAAAATAAAAGCTTAATAACATTAATGGCATCAGTTGGTACAAACATCTCATTTTTATAACAATCAGATTTACTAAGAAGAACATGAGTTTTAGAGTAAGATGGACCTAGGTTTAAAAAGAAGCATCTTGATTGCTGTCCAGTTTCTCCTATCACCCACTTGTGGCACATTAACATGCTAAGAGGCATACAAGTTAGAAAGCTCTGCTTTACGTACATTTTCTACGGTCTTATTACTGTGCCCTGTGGAATTCTATTTCTGTGACCAACTTTTTTCTTCTTGCACCTCTCTCTCTCTCACCAACCTCTTCAATATAACAAAAACTCTGAAGATATCAACTCATCTGTAATCTCTCCAATGAAAACCGTTCTTTCCTCTTTTCTCCCCTTCCTTCTTATTACTATGTGACAGTTCTTGGGATATAACAAAAGAGAAAAATTAAACAGCCATATAATATTTATTGTGGTTAAAATAGAATGTTTGGGAAAGAGACAAGGTAAGACTATTAAAGTAATCTTAGTCACAGGTTACAGTGGCCTAGGCTGACATAGTTAGCAGTAAAAATGAAAGTAAATAGATATCATGATTTTTAAATTGATTTTAGAGAGAAACAGGAAGAGGTGGAGAGGGAAGAAGAAATATCAGTTTGTTGTTCCTCTTATTTATGCATTCATTGGTGCTTCCTGTATGTGCCCTGAAGGAAGACTGAACCTGCAACCTTGGAGTATCAGGATGATGTTCTAACTCAGTTACCCAGCCAGGGCCTACATATGCAAATTTTTAAGAGACTGGATAAAGAGAAATGAGGAAAAGGGAGAAATCCAAATTACTCTTGGACTTTTGAGTTGAGCAGCTATATGCTTGGTGTTGTCATTCATTGAAATAGACAAAATAGAAGACAGTTTTGAGGCAAAGATGAGTTCAGTTCTGAACATGTTAAGCCTGATATGTATCTGTGGTATCCAAAAGGAAACATTTAGCAGGCATTTGGATATACAGGGAGCTGTAAAAAGACATATCTACCAGAAAGATAAATTTGTGAGTCACCAACACTGACACAGTAATTGAAGTCATTGGATAAGATCACTGAGGACCCAGAAAAGAACCTTAAAAAAAATCAATATTTAAGAAAATGCAGAGGAAGAGAGAGTAACAAGGACACTAAGAAGGCACAGTCAGAGAGTGTGTAGTTACATAAAGGTCAAGGAAAGGAAGTTCAAGAAATAGAGGTTAACTTTGTTAAAATACCACAGATAAGTGAAGTAATATAACTCAGAATTATTCTTTAGATTTAGGCATAAGGAGTTTATTCAGTATTTTGTTAAAATCATTTTGGTGGAATGATGGGGATGGAAGCCAGATGACAGCATATTTTAAAATGAGTAGGAGATGTGGAAAGATTATGAATGGAGAAACAGTTGCTGTGGAGAATGAGAAAAAGCTGGCTGGAGGATTGGGGCACTGGGAGCACTCTGCCAGAAAAGCACTTAGTAAATGCTTGTGGTGGTAATGGTGAATTGGCCCCCAGAATCCATTGCCAGTTGGCCTTCGTGTACTGGAGAGGTTGGAAATCTTAAAAAAAAGAAAAAATTAAACTCTTGGGCTTTCCCGCAGCTAGGTTTCTGGACATAACTTAGATTTTGTCACATCAGATACCTCCAAAAAGGTTTAGAAGGTAGAAGTGTGGTAAAGTATGCATGACAGCTGAGGCACTGACGTTGTGGGGTTTCATCAACAGAAAAAGAGACCTCAAAATTCAGCAGCTTTGTAGGTGCTGAGAAGCAAGGCGCAGGGCAGGGCATCTGTCATTCTGATACAGATCTAGCTAACAGATACAGATGCAGTGTTAGATTCTTGATTGCTGATTTTAACTAGAGTGATGTATTCTTGGAGTCAACAGCTCTGGTTGTAGTTTGCTACTCTCTGAATCACAGCTAAAGGAATAGGTTCCAGGAACCACCTGTTCCAGTGGGAACCTCTTAACTTCTCACCTTCTTGAATGTAGTAGTAGCAGTGCCACGTACTGGTTAGTCAATTGTATGGTGTGTTTTTGGAGTCTCCTTTTTTTCTTTTTCTTTTCTTAATCCTCACTCAAGGATATGTTTATTGATTTTAGAGAGAGGGAGAAAGGGAGAGAAACATCAACTGGCACCTTCTCATACACACCCTGACCCGCAATTGAACCCACAACCTAGGTATGTGCCTGGACCAGGGATCAAACCCATGATTCTTTGGTCTGTGGGACAACGCTCCAACCAACTGAGCCACACCAGCCAAGGCTCTTACAACAATTTTTATGTGCACCTAATTCTATTATAAACCTTTCTGCTTAAAATAGCTAGGTTTCTATTACCTGCAACTGAATACTGACTGACAAAACAGGCTTATTGGTATAATCCTTTCTCAATACTAGATTTTCTAGCCCAGTAGCTCCCAATAACTAGTTTAACAAATACCAGGGGAGTCTGGTAAAAATAGTTTCCAGGGCCCAATTTTTAGAGACTCAGGTTAAATAAGCCTTGGGTGGTACCTGAGAATTTAAATTTTGGTAAGAGATGGCCCTTGTCTTCAAAGACTTTACAGAGGTTCCAATATTCAGTAACTTTTCTCTTTTGACATTTATTTTTAAATTTTTGAAATTTATTGATTTGAGAGAGAGAAGTGGGGGGAGAGAGAGAAAGGAGAGACAGAAATAGAGACAGACATCAATTTGCTGTTCACTTATTTATGAATGTGCTCTGGGGATTGAACCCACAATCCCCATCACCCTGGCATCTCTTTGAACAACTGAGCTACTGCCTGGACAGGACTCTTTTGATATTTAAATTAGTACTTTTGACCATCCTCCTCCCATTCTCACTGCTAGCCTCAAAGGTACTCTCTCAGGTTCTTTGATAACTTCCACATTGGATTCTCAGGTGCCCTTCCCACTACTTCACAGGCCACTGTGGTGAAAGGGTTTACATGCAAAACCCATCAAATATGCAGAACTCAGGGTTTCTTTCCTTCAATTCTAACAACCCTCTTATCTTTACTACTCACAAACAAGTACACAACATGCTCATTGTTAATTGAGAAATATTTCACATGCCCAGGATTTTGACTTTAAAATCCTATCTGTGTGTAACCTCTTCTCATCCTTTTACATCTACTACCCAACTCACAGGGCTGATAATATAGTGTGGGACAAAAGTAGGTTTACAGTTGTTTGTAAGGAAAAATAATACAATAATAAATAATAGTATAAGAATAAATCAATCATCTTCGTCATCAATCACCTTCTAGTCTCACTGGCCCTGGACTCTTGCTCAATCAGAGTCAGTATCTAGCCCAGAATCTGGACGTTCAAGACATGCTTATTGAATTAAAGTAAAATGTCAGTGATATTCTGATTAAAACAATCAGTTCATTCTGCAATTTCCTAGCTCAAGGCATACTACTATAGAACCTTTCTCTACTACTACCATTTGCAAATTATCAATGAGATGTTTGAAAAATTTGTGACTGTGGAAGAAAAGGGGCCACATGTAAAACCTGACAAGCTGAGGGGAAGACTGTGTATCAGCATTACAAACTCAGAGACCTAAAGTAACCACATAGGATGGTCTGAAATTAAAACTTTCTAACTAAAAGCAGTTCATGGCAGGTAGCCACGTCCCAGGCTGGTAAGCTTTCCCTAACAAAGGTCAATCTTTACCTTAACTTAGCCTTAATAGGACAAAGGCCACTTTCTCAGGCTCTCTTTCCCAGAGCTGACTGGACCCCATAAAGCGTGGCTGACTCTAATTGTTTTACCAGTCTTTATCCTCAGTACTAGAAAATTACCAGAAGTTCCTTGAAGGCACAGAGGTTCCAGGAAATAGGGAACTTCCTAACAGGACACACTAGACCAACTCAGACCAAACTCTGAACCCAAAGATAATATCGATAACAAGTTGCAACCCAACTGAAACATCCTGCTCTACAATCACCCCTTCCCCCAATAAAAGCCCAAAGTCCTATGAGGGGTGTCCAACCCTCAGCCCACAAGCTGCATTGCCGCCAAGGATGGCTATGAATGCAACCCAACACAAAATCGTAAATTTACTTAAAACCTTTTTTTGCGGCTCACCAGTTTTCATTAGTGTTGTGTATTGAATGTGTGGCCCAAGACAACTCTTCTTCTGGCGTGGCCCAGAGGTGCCAAAGATTTGGACACCCCTGCCACCCCTCAGGGCTAATGCATTTTTCCGCACCTAGCCCTTTCCCTCCCTTAGGAAAGTAAAAATAAAAACTCTCACTCTCTGCACTTTCTTCTCTTTGTGAATTCTTTCACAGTCCATGTCACCAACCACCCTTAACAAGACTGTCTTGCTGTCTTTTTGCCATTTAGGATAACATACCTCTGGAATGTCAAATTTCCTTTTTCTGGACCCCTCAAAGCACAGGCACTGCACAAGGGGGAAACAACAAATCCTCCCTTTGCTACTGATATCATTTTAATTGTTGACTGTTAACTATCCTGTACCCACCTATGCATAAGACGTGTCTATCATTTTACTTTTTATCCAATCCCAGAGGTTTCCTCACTTTACTTCCTCCCACCTCTCTAATCTATCACCAATGAATTTCATGGAACCCATTTACATCTCCTCTTTTGATTGTAATGTATACGTTAAGATGAAACTGCTATTTTTTGGAGCAGTATCTCAACTGATAGAGGTTTTGCTCCCCAATAACTGTTGTCAATTTGGCTCAAATAAACTTACAAAAATTCTCTACAGGTTTGAATGTTTCTTATGTTGACATGACAGAAAACAACAGAGTAACTTTATACAGCCCAACACAGGCTTTGAGAAATGACACCTCACTTGAATTACTCATTTGTTTACTTGATTGATAAAATGTTACATTATAAGTATATTTCCATTTCTGGGGAAATTTAAGCAGAAAAGAAACATTAACAGAAGATGCATTCATTATGTTCAGTTATCATTAAAATAATGTATTATTTTATTAATCTAATAGTATTCTAAAATAAAACCATAAATGTTTTACCTAAAACGCCTTCCACGCTGCTGGTTCATTTTTGCTCGAGGAGCCACACCATCAACAGCCATAAAAAACACTTTTCTAGGCTTAATAATGCGAAACAACACTTCTAAGTAGTGAAAAATATCAGTAAAGATTTTATCATCTGAAATTCTGAAGTGAACATCATCATCATTAGGATGGGAACACTGATGTATAATTCCATTCATATCAAGGTACAAGTTGTCAAATTCAGGAATCTAAAAAACAAGAAGAAATAATTCAGATCATTATTATAATCAACCATGGATATCTAAGCAGCTGGGCAAAGCAGCTCATAAAGAGCAGAATATTAGGTTATGCTTATTATATAAAAACTGAGTGAACAACCAGTTTTCTTATTTGAATAAAGAAAGTAAAGAAAAAAACAGGAATAACTAATAAGCTGTAGACATATTATACGGTTACATACATTCCATAGCAATTGGTTTATCAAAGTAACTATAGGAAATTATCTGTTTATTTAAAATAAGATAACCCAGGAAAATACCAAAAAGGAAGTACTTGGTTCATTTGGTACTCAGAATATTAGTTTCTTTTCTTCCGACCACTTGACATTAACTCTCAAAGCCTCAAGTTTCTCTATAAATGGATAAATAACAACCGTTTATATCAAAAAGCTGTGTATACATGGTCATTGAAAAGTTTTACAAATGATTTAAAGCCTTATTGTATATTTGGTTTCACTAAGGCAGTCATTAATTTGGTTATATGAATTTTAAAAACTTAGATTATGCCAAGTAATTTAGGAAATTCTACAAACTGATATCTTATTTTTGATATGTGAATTATAATTTCTAAATTTTGACCAAGTATCTACTTTTAATAAAAGACTTTCAAGGCTCTGGGTCTCATTTATTTTTCCTCTGCTTAAATGGAAACAAGTAAGGGAAACACTACTGAAACAAATATACATTGACTAGGAACTTAAATGCACACAACTTAATAGGTACATTATCCATTGTAATTAAAGAATTTTTAGAGCAGTCTGCCTTACATACTTACAAAAGAAAAGTATTTTGAATTTTCAAACAAAATAAACTGTCCTTATATAAACTTAAGGAGAACCACCTTTAAAACAATTATTCAAGTTTTACCAGAGGTACAGGTAACAATATATTTTCCTATTATTGAGAAAATGACATGCCTTTGAGGATTTTTTAAGGGGGGGTGAGTAAAAATTTTTGGCCTCTGGATCAATAAACACTATTAAAATATTTCAGTAAAACACCCATTTGTACTACTACATAAAAATTTTAAATGCCCCTACTGAATAATAGACTCAACTGAAATGACAACTGTAATCATGAGATTTTAAAAATACATTCAGATTTACTGTTTACTTCAAGATATCTGAAAACCCTCAATCAAAATATAAATGGATCTCTTTGAGGGAGTGGGGATGCTTATGATTACAAAGCTGCCCTAGGAGAATAAACATACAAAAAATATTAAAAAGACTAATGAAGAAACATCTGTCCTACATATTAAAAATTATAAAACAGCCCCCTCTGGCTGGTGTGGCTCAATGGACTGAGTACTGGCCTGCAAACTAAAAGGTCACTGGTTCGATTTCCAATCAGGGCACTTGCCGAGGTTGCAGGCAAGGTCGCCAACTCGGGGCATGTGAGAGGCAATTGATCCAATGTTCTCACAAACATCAATGTTTCTCTCCCTTTCTCCCTTACTTTCCCTCTCTCTAAAAGTAAATAAACAAAATCTTTGAAAAAACATAAAACATTTTGACCGAACCAAAAAGTTTAGAAGTAGTCTAAGTGTATACAGAAATATAGTATATAAGGTACATTTCAAATCAGTGAAAGAAAGGAATGGGGCACCTCACCAATTATTGGAAATAAAGTTATTTTATAATGAAGTAATTCCACAAGAATTACAAATTTTGAGAAATGCAAGTAAAAAATTGTATACAAATGTTCTGCTAATCTCAGGATCGGGAAAGCCAGAAATCATAAACCAAATGGTGGGTTGGCTATCTAAAAATATATTTTTAAATCTATAGGGTTAAAAAAAAAGAACCATAAACAAGAGTATGACAAAATGCAGGGAAAAGCTTGCAAATTAGAACAAAAGTCAGCATTTCTAATATACAAAAATTCTGAAATATAAGAAAAATAGCAACTTTTAAAAGCATGGAAAAATGCAAAGTACTTCAAAAAAGAAGTAACACAAAAGTCTAATAAACATATGGCAAGATATTCAACATCCCCGAATTTCAAGTTAAAATAACACATCATCTTTCCCTTCGTGTTAACAAAGATCATAAAGATTAATGTTACCCATTATTGCTGAAGTCTGGGGAAACTGCAGACTTCCTATGTTACTAAAAGTAATAGCTGGCCCTGACTTGTGTGGCCCAGGGGCTTGAGCGCTGCCCCGCAAACAGAAGGTCACCAGTTTGATTCCTGATCAGGGCACAGGCCTGGGTTATGAGCCAGGTCTCCGGTTTGGGGCAAGCAAGAGGCAACCAACCGATGTTTCTCTCACAGGTAGATGTTTCTCACATTTCAATGTTTCTCTTCCTCCCTTTCTCCCTCCCTTCCAACTCTCCCTAAAAAAATAAATAAATAAGGTCTTTTTTTAAAAAAAGCAACAGTTGCCATTTATTAAGCATTTTTAGAGCATTTATATTCATTCTCTCACTTAATTATAACAACCTTAAAAGAGAAATATTTATATTCCCCATTTTACAAAAGAGGAAATTCACAGAGCTAGAAAAGAAAGAGATGGCATTTATACTCAGTAGTCTGGAATGGGAATAATAAATTGATATAACTAATATGAAAGTATATATCAAAATTTAAAGTACGCACATCTTTCTTTGACCCAGGATTTCTACTAATGAAAATCTATCCTTGTCCAGTCATGATGGCGGTACAGATAAACATGACTCACCTCCTCCCACAACCACATCAAAATTACAACTAAAATACAGAACAATCATCACTCTGAACCATCAAAAATCAAGTTGACTGTAAGTCTGACAACTACGGAATAAAAGAAACCACATCCACCCAGATTGGTAGGAAGGGTGTAGACGTGGAACAGGCTGGTCCCACATCCACATGCGGCAGATAAAAGTTCAGGAGGGATAACTCAGAAGTGAGGAGTCCTAGCCCCACACTAGGCCACCCAGCCCAGGGTTCCAATGCCAGAAGTCAGTCCCGTAACTTCTGGCTGCAAAAACCAGCAGGTTTTTGAGTCAGTGGGAAAAACTTCTGGAGTTACAGGCAGTTCCTCTTAAAGAACCCACACACAGGCTGACTCAAACTCACTCCCTCTGAGTTCCAGCACCAGGATAGCCGCTTGAAAGGCACTAGTGGCATACATGGAAGAACTAAAGTGGCCGGCATCAAGGCAAGGTCTGGGTGACAGCTTTCTCCCAGACATAAAGGTGAGCAGAGGCCACAGTCCCTTTTATGAACCTTCCTGCCACAGAGTCTGGTCTTGGCTCATGCTTCACAACTTTCTAAATCCTCTCAAACAAGCAATAGTGAGCCCCTAGCCACTGTACCTCTTGCTAAGTGGCTGCAGATCCAGCAATAGCAGCAACCAGCCTAGATTCACAGCTTGGCTTCATCTGGGAATCTTCAAGCCCAGCACAAGCAGCAGCCATCTCAGATTGCTTTATAGCTCAGGCAGGGTAGTCAGGGGCAAAACAGATATGGGGGCTAACCTTGGTCCTAGCTGTACTACCCAAGCTGTACTACCTGGCAAACCACAGAGCCTGTGCACCCAATGGACAGTAGTAGATCACATCAGAACACCACCACCCGGCCCCCACACAGCTGATCCTCCACAGAAGGCAGAGGTTGGTGGTCAACAGTCACAGCCAGTCCTTGTAGCTGACTGGCCTGGGTAAATCCCTCCTCCTATTGATCTGCCAACAGCAATCAAGGCTCAACTACAAAAGAAGGGTGTAAGCTGCCCACACACAGGGCGCACCAGGAGTACCCAGCTTGGGTGATAGGGGAGGCTGTGCTACTGGACCCTGCAGGACACCTACTACATTAGGCCACACTACCAAGACATGGAGTCAAAGCAGCTCTTCTTAATACATAGAAATAAACACAGGGAGGCTGCCAACATTAGGAAACAAGTAACGTGGCCCAAATGAAAGAAGAGATCAAAACTCCAGAAAAAGAGCTAAACGAAATAGAAATAAGCAATCTATCAAATATAGAGTTCAAAATACTGTTTATAAGGATGCTCAAGGAACTTTATTGAGGACATCAGCAGCATAATAACAGAGCCAGTCAGAAACTAAGGATACACTGATTGAAATAAAGAACAAAATTTACAGGGAAACAACAGTAGAAGAAAGAAGCCAAGAATCAAATATGATTTGGAACATGGAGATGTAAGAAACCAAAAAAACAAGGAGAGTGGAAGAAGCCTCTAGGACAACTTCAAGAGGTCCAACATTCGCATCAGGGGGTGCCAGAAGAAGAGACAGAGCAAGAAAATTGGAAATCTATTTGAAAAAATAATGAAAGAAAACGTCCCTAATTTGGTGAAGGAAACAGACATACAAGTCAAGGAAATACAGAGAGTCCCAAACAAGATGGATGCAGAGAGGCCGACTCCAAGACACATCATTATTAAAATGCCAAATGTTAAAGATAAAGAGAGAATCTTAAAAGCGGCAAGAGAAAAGCAGTTAGTTACCTACAAGGAGTTACCACAAGACTGTCAGCTTCTTTCTCAAGAAACGTCCATTAGAAAAGTCATGAAAAGCAGAGACCTATGGCCAAGATTGTTATCATGTAGAATCAAAGGCCAAACAGAGAGTTTGCCAGACAAGAAAAAGCTAAAGTTCATCATCACCAAACTATTATTATGTGAAATGTTTTGTTTTGTTTTTTTAAAAGATTTTATTTATTTTTAGAGAGAGGGGAAGGGGGGAGAAAGAGGGAGAAAGAAATATCAATGTGTGGTTGCCTCTCGCAGGCCCCCTATTAGGGACCTGGCCCCGCAACCCAGCCATGTTCCCTGACTGGGAATCAAACCAGCAACCCTTTAGTTTGCTGGCTGGCACTCAATCCACTGAGCCACACCAGGCAGGGCTATTATGTAAAATGTTACAGGGACTTATTTAACTAAAAGAAGATCACAACTTTGAACAATAAAATCACTATAAATACATATCTATCAACAATTGTATCTAAAAAACAAACTAAGC